CAACATACACTTTAAGGGTCGAAGGAGAGCGGCCCTTATCAAGGAGAGACTGGAGGAACTCCAAAATAGTGGGCACCGAGCAGGAAAGCGGGTTCTCATTGTGGGCAGAGCACCACTGAGAAAAGAGGCGCCATCTGTTAGCATACTGCAGCCGAGTGGAGGAAGCCCTAGCACTCAATACGGTGTGTCTCACGGTGTCTGAACACCCAGTCAGCCTCCCAGGGGCCATGCCCACAGCTGGAGACGTTGAGGGTTGGGGTGCCATATCTGTCCCCCCAACTGAGACAGCAGATCCCTCCTTGCTGGAAGACGCCATGGAGTACCGTGACACAGACTCCAAAGCAGCGGGAACCACGGCCGCGCTGGCCAGAACGGAGCTACCAGCAACACTCTGTGGCCCTGCTTGAGAACCCTCCGTAGAGTCGGCCAAACCAGTGAGAGGGGTGGAAAGGCATACAGGAGAACCTGCGGCCATGGATGAGCCAGTGCATCCTGGCCCAGTGCGCCCGCCATCCCGGTTAGGGAATACCATAGGGGGCAATGGGTCGACTCCTCTGTGGCGAACAGATCTACCTCTGCCTGCCCAAAGAGGTTCCAGATTATGCGCACTACGTCGGGGTGAAGAGACCACTCTCCCGGAGCAGGTGCCTGGCGGGATAGAGAGTCCGCAACCTGGTTCTGCCGTCCTGGCAGATACGCTGCGCCCAGGGTACACAGACGGGGATACGCCCATTCCAGGAGATCCCTCGACACCTTCAAGAGACGTGCTGACCTGGTGCCACTTTGGTGGTTTATATGATAAACAACAGAGGTGTTGTCTGTCCGAATCAGCACGTTCCTTCCCTCTAGGTGGGGCAGAAGGCACCTGAGGGCCATGTGCACAGCCCGCAGCTCCAGCACATTTATGTGTTCGGTGCGCTCCCTTGGGTCCCAGAGACCCCGAACAGCTCTGTGTTGCCACACGGCACCCCAGCCCATGAGGCTGGCATCCGTGGTGACCACCTCCCTTCGACACACTACTAGCCCCATTGGAACACCACTGGACAAAAGGGTCCCGTCTCGCCAAGGAGCTAGGGCATGGAGGCAGCTCCTGGTCACCATTAGCCTGCGATGCCTGTGCAGCCTGGCGTCTAGGCGAAAGCTGTTGAGCCATCGCTGCAAAGGACGCAGAAGGAGCAGCCCTAAGGGCACGACACGAGTGACTGATGTCAGTTTGCCCAGCATTCGCAGGAAGGTGATGTAGGGAAACTCCCTGCCCAGTCTGAATCGACGGACAAGCTGGAGTATGTCGTCCACCCTGTGAACAGATGGACGGGCCATCATGGTAGCAGAGTCCAGATGCATCCCAAGAAAGGTGGTTGTCTGAGATGGAACCAGACAACTCTTTGCCAAGTTGACTTTGAGGCCTAACATTGACACATGAAGTAGAAGCTGGGACGTATCCCGAGAGGCAGCTACCTGAGAGGGAGCACAAAGAAGCCAATCGTCCAGGTATGGCAGAATCCTGACTCCGGAGGCCTGTAGAGGAGAGAGGGCTGCTTTCACGCATCGAGTAAACACCCTCGGGGAAAGGGAGAGCCCGAATGGGAGCACCCGGAATTGCCAATGGCGCCCCCGATAGGCGAACCTGAGAAAACGGCGATGTTCTGCCGCAATAGGCACGTGAAAGTAGGCGTCTGTCAGATCTACTGATGTAAACCAATCTCCCGCCACAATGGTCTGAAGGACCTCTGTTATGGTGAGCATGTGGAAGGGAAGGACCTTCAGGTACCGATTCAGTCCCCTTAGATCTAAAATGGGGCGAAAACCGCCGGTCTTCTTGGCCACAAGGAAGTATGTGGAGTAGTAGCCTCTGGGTTGCTGCAGAGGATCTACAGACTCGATTGCCCCCTTGCCCAGGAGGGCGGAAAGCTCCTGGTCTAGTGCCTGAGATTTCACCGGGTCTGTGATGACAGTCATCTTGACCCGGTGTGAGAGGGGGGGCCGCCGTCGGAACTGGAGCCTGTAGCCATTGGTTAAGGTGGCAACCACCCATGGATCTACGGCATGAGCAGCCCAGAAATTCAGCTGCTGATGGGAAAAATGTCCGACGGCTGGCCCGGTGGCATCATCTTCTATCCCCACGGCCCCTGGGGGCTCTGGGGGGAGGGCGTCCAGGATTTGAGGCCCGGGTCTGTCTAACAGGGCGGCAGACTGGCTCACGAAAGTCCCTTCTCGGTCTCTGCCGCACATCATGGGGATAGGAACCAACAGGTCTGCCACCAGTCTGAGGTCGTGGCTGAACGCTGGGGGTAGTGGCAGGGCGGCCCGAACGCTGGGGAAAGGCAGGTATGCTCCTGCGAAGGCCGGAAAGCTGCTGGCTAGTCTGACGTGCCTGAGCAGTCCGTTCCAGCGCCTCCAAGGCAGCTGATCCAAACAGCTCCCCTGGTACAACCGGGACACCCCTGAGGGTCCTACGGCATGCTTCAGTCAGAGGAGACTGTGCCAACCAGACCTGTCTACGAGCTTGGACAAGGAAAGACATGACCCGTCCAAGCTCTCTGGTCATCAGCGCGAAGGCCTGCAGCGCTGCGTCACTATAACCAATCGCCGCACTTGCACCACCAGTGTCCTGAACAGATGCAGACAGGGCAAACATGAGGTGCGCCAGGGAATTGCCAAGGCGGCCAGCACGCGCTCCTGCATTGTACGCCTTACAGAGGAGGTCATCTGTAACCCGACATTGAGTCCGCGGGCACCGGACATCAGGACGCAGGGCTTCATCTGGTGACACAATCAGTGAAGCAACAGCTGGTTCAATTGCTGGCATACGGTCCAGGCCGGCCTTCACTGACTCATGCATGGCAGCTAATACACGACCATCCGAGGAGAGACGCGACAGCGCTCTCGGTTCCCGCCAACAGGCGTGTAACTCCTTCAGGTACTCCTCTGATGGAGGTACAGAAAAAGGAGTAGGAGCCCTTCCACGTCTGAAAAAAGCACTGCCAGAGCTGGATGCCTCTCCTTGTGGGAGTTCCAGCTGCAGCTGCTTCAGGGCCATAGACATGACCTCCCGCATGGAACCGTCACCGGCCTCTCCAACCGCACTCTGAGATGAAAATGAACCAGCCTCAGAGGCTTGAGAGGACCCTGCCTCCTCCTCATCTCTAAAATGAGAAGCGGAGGCAGCCAGAGAGATAACGTCATCCTCTACAACCAGCTCGGGCATTGGTGGGGAAGAGAGCCCAACCACTGGGAGCGAGGGATCAGATTGCCGTGTCTGCAACAAGGACTTCATCTCTGCCAGCTCTGCTGACAACTGCTCCACCCTTGTGGACAGGCCCTGGTCAGGTTTGGCCCGCTTCCTCCGGGGGAGGGGCACAGATGCTGTGGTCCCACCACGGCGCTTAGAACGCTTGGGGGGAACCACCTGCCCAGAGGGCGGAAGGTCCGAGCCCTCCTGGGGGCACAACTGGGCCAACCGGGCCACCCTCACTGCATGGGGCATAAAGCTGCAGTTCATACAGGGGTTCTCAGACAGCGCCTCCAAAAGGTGCTCATGTCCAAGGCAGGTAGGGCACAGGTCGTGGCCATCCTCTGCCTGCAGGGCAGCCCCACAATCTATGCAGCTGTGAGAGCCATCCATGTTGAAGGCCGACAAGGCTTAAAGAACAGAAAGTTATCGAAAATCGGGAGAGGGGGCGCAAACGCAGCCGTCACCAATTACAGCAGAGAAACGAAAGAGGCTGCGAGCACAAGGCAGCCGATACTGGGAGAGGGGGCGAGAACCGCTACCGTCACCAGGTATAAAACCAAAAAAGCTAACAACGTTAGCTGTATGGAAACTTAAGTTGGAAGTAGGAGCGAACAACGCTGCCGTCACCAATTATAGCGGATAAAACAAGAGAGGCTGCGGACACAAGGCGGCCGATACCGGGAGAGGGGGCGAGAACCGCTACCGTCACCAGGTATAAAAGCAATAAACAAAAAAAGCTAACAACGTTAGCTGTATGGCAACTTAAGTAGGGAGTAGGAGCGATAAACGCTGCCGTCACCAATTAAGAGAGCAGACCAACGAAAAGGCTGCAAAAAAAGGTTGATATTGGGAGAGGGGGCGAAAACGCTGCCGTCACCATTTATAATTAAGCAGACCGATGAAGAAGGCTGCAAACAAACCAAAAAAGGCTAACAACGTTAGCCGTCTCCAACTTAGGCAACGAAGTAGACCAGACTTGGTTGGGAGAGGGGGCGTCAGTAATTATAGCAGCGCAGACCGGTGAAAAAAAGGATGCAAAAGTAGGGAATATACTGGGAGAGGGGGCGAAAACCGCTGCCGTCACCAGTTATAACACCAACAAACTAAAGAAGCTAACTACGTTAGCCGTATATAACTTCGGCAGTGAAGTTATTCACACTGGGAGTAGGGGCGAAAACGCTGCCGTCACCAGTTCGGAACAAAACAGCACGAAGCTGTAGGTAAAAAGCTAAAGTCGTGAGCCGGGAGAGGGGGCGCGGACGCTACCATCACCAGCAAACAACTCACTTACCTTCCGTAATCTTCAGAATCGACCCGTTGCAGCCCTGGGAGGGCGGAGAATAACCGCAACTCCGGTCAAGAGACAGGGGCTTCAGACAACGGGGAAGTTAGCGAACCGCTTGCGAGAAGAAAAAAGGAGCAGAGCAAAGGATGACACCAGGCTATATAGCTTCTGAGTGGTCATCCGGTGTCACAGGTGTGACTCTGTTGGTATAATTACTCGAACTGCGCATGCCCGAAGGGAACATTCAGTGCTTTCAGCACCGCCCTCTGGCGGTCAGTAGGGATGAAATAGAACCGGTTGTTCATGAGTTAGTTTCCATCTTTTAGGGAGGTTAAAGAGTCACTGCAGCAAAATGAGAACAGCTTCATTGGATCCAAAAGATCAGCACTGACTTTTCTGCTGGATTATACCAGTTCTGCAGGTAAAAGTGAGACTCGGTTAGATTTAAAATCCTAACTGGAGCTCTGTCTATTCTTGCAGCACTGCAGAGTTTTACGTCTCCTCAAATATCCAGCAGAAGATTCTGAGAACCCTCCACAGGTACGTGTCTGTTCCTCTTATAAGCTGACCTTATTACTAATCCTTTGTGCTTCTCATCCATCCGTCCGTCCGTCCATCCATCCATCCATCCATCCATCCATCCATCCATCCATCCATCCATCCATCCATCCATCCATCCATCCATCCATCCATCCATCCATCCATCCATCCATCCATCCATCCATCCATCCATCCATCCATATAAAGGACATGTCATCAGCTTTAAACCCTCCAGTTGCATGAAAGGTAGTTGGAAGCTGAACGGTTCCTCCCAGTAAACCCCTCTTAGAGGCTGAAAAATAAATACCAGCTAAAGTTGAGGCATCATCATGTTCCAGCAGGTCACTGCCTCCTCGTTCTTCCATTGGCGACGCCCTCCAGCAGATCCAAGGCTACTATCCTTCCACAGTTACCCACTCTGTGATTATCTACAGCCTTTCCACCTGATGAATCATCACACCTGACTTGTTTGGTATTAAACTACTGATTCATCACCTCATGTTGTTTTTCATAACAAACATATTTCTTTGAGATAATGCTCCTCAGAGCTCAGACTGATGGCTATTTACAGACCAAACAAAGGAATGTTGACACTTAACATTAGACTGAAGGGGTTTCTGTTGTTATTCAAGATGTGTTAAGTTATTGTTTTAGGCTAAGTGGGATTTAGTTTAATAATTAAGGTTAAAACAAACCCTCCATAAAAGGTCAAACTCCCAAAAAACCCATCAAGTATTTATTGCTCCTTAAATGAAATAAAACTGAATCAGTCATATTTCACTGTAGGCGAGTTTTGGTGCATTGAAATTTATTTCTGTCTTGGAAAAGTTTGTTTTGGTGCTGGGGTTTTTACAGCAGGTCATAAGTTTATGTTAATTGCTGCTGTCAGACAGCTTACATATTTACTGTAAATATTTCAGTGTAAGTTTTTGTTCAATGGAAGGCTTCATTCTTTCTGAGATCCGAACCTTCTCTTCTGTTGAGTTGGTCTGGACCCACAGGTCTGTGGACTGGAGTTTGATTGGAATTTGGCTGCTTTTTAACCAGCCCAGAACCTCACCCATTTCTTCCCAGAACCTCACCCATTTCTTCCCAGAACCTCACCCATTTCGTCCCAGAACCTCACCCATTTCGTCCCAGAACCTCACCCATTTCGTCCCAGAACCTCACCCATTTCGTCCCAGAACCTCACCCATTTCTTCCCAGAACCTCACCCATTTCTTCCCAGAACCTCACCCATTTCGTCCCAGAACCTCACCCATTTCGTCCCAGAACCTCACCCATTTCGTCCCAGAACCTCACCCATTTCGTCCCAGAACCTCACCCATTTCAGCCCAGAACCTCACCCATTTCAGCCCAGAACCTCACCCATTTCAGCCCAGAACCTCACCCAATTTGTCCCAGAACCTCACCCATTTCATCCCAGAACCTCACCCATTTCATCCCAGAACCTCACCCATTTCTTCCCAGAACCTCACCCATTTCGTCCCAGAACCTCACCCATTTCGCCCCAGAACCTCACCCATTTCGTCCCAGAACCTCACCCATTTCGCCCCAGAACCTCACCCATTTCGTCCCAGAACCTCACCCATTTCGCCCCAGAACCTCACCCATTTCGTCCCAGAACCTCACCCATTTCGGCCCAGAACCTCACCCATTTCGTCCCAGAACCTCACCCATTTCGTCCCAGAACCTCACCCATTTCGTCCCAGAACCTCACCCAATTTGTCCCAGAACCTCACCCATTTCGTCCCAGAACCTCACCCATTTCGTCCCAGAACCTCACCCATTGTACTATAATCGTTAATGAGTAACTTCACAAAGGGTGTTCAAAATACAGTATTATAGATTTTAGGCTCTGAGCTTCAGGAACCACCCAGTTTGGGTCTTAGTAAACAATCCAATCTTGATCAAAGTTCTGACTGAAAGGAGCAGCTGACACATGAAGTTCTGGTTTCTGTGCAGCTGAGGTTCTGTATCAGATCTCCTCCTTTCATTTGCATGAAGCCAGAGGCTGATTTTCATTCCATCTGAATACATTTGCCTTCATGCTCCTTTCTTACATCCTGGCCCGGTTCTGCTGGCCTGTTTGGTGTCAGCAGGACGGAGCTGCTGGCTCCCTGTTTGAACGGGTCACCAAGTGATCAGGGTTCTGTTCTGCCTCTGTGGGTTTCCTGGGAGGTCATAGAGGACGGGTCGGTCCTTCTTAGTAATGAAGTTTGACCCGAGTTCTGAGATCAAGATGTGTTCTTTTGTTGATGTGATGTTCAGACGGCGGAGCAGGCCTTCAGGCAGATCCAGAACATCGTGGACTTCAGCTCCAACGTCATGAGCAGCCTGCTGGGGGGAAAGTTCGTCCACAGTGGGGTAAGAAACAGTTTGGGTTCATTAACACGATCAGAACCATTTTACATTACAAACATGGGCTCAATAACCAAAATGAAAACTATATTTTTTTCTTTGAATATTCATGATCTTAATTTAATAGCGGAACTTTTCCTTCAAATCAGATCTGGATTCTCCTGCAGTTCATGAATAATTTATTTAAATTTTAAAGAGTGAGTCATTTGATTCCTGTTTTTTGAGACATGCAAACATAAACTTAATGATTTCAGGTTAGCTTGATTTAGTTCAGCCAAGTTCAGAATCCACTCAGAACCACAGAATGATGCTGAAATCCATCAGAACCGGAGAGTAACTCTGTTAGAGTCTGGAGGGTTTTAATCACATGAGTCATGTTCTCTGGTCAAATGGATCCCCTTCCCACCTGGAACATTTCACATAAACAGCTTCATTCCTGAAGCTAAATCAGACTCTTCAAAGCATCATCCCAGGATTTCTGTGAATTTTCCAGAATAATGTGTGTTTTAAGTTGAACTTGTTCCAAAAGGCTGAAGTTTCATCTCTTGGTTTGGTGTGCAGGAAGTTGTCAGACTGCCGCTGGAGTTTGTTCGACAGCTATCCATCAAGATTCAGCATCAGAGACCCGGTGAGACACGTTTATGTTCCTGTTGTTCTCTGACACTCAGAGCGACTAACTGTTGGTAGAAAGTTTCCTTCTTCTGTCCATCAAACCCGCCGAGACAGTGGTTCTCCACCCTGGTCCTCAGACTTGGACTTAGACTTAACTTTATTTGTACCTTGGGATTACTCCTTCAGGGAAATTCTGGGTCCAATAGCTTATATAGAGTACAAAGAGTTAAAGCAAGATGCCATTAAAGATAGAAATACAATAGACAATATAAAAGAGTGTATATAGTACAAAAGAGCGTAAGAAAAGTCTTAATGTCCTAAATATCTGCACAGTAGAGAGTTAAGGAAAGACTACACAGTAGTTAGCATGTGTTATTGCACGGTGAGAGAGAGGAATGTTGCATCTGATTGATAATGATAATAATAATAGTAATTTAACTTTATTGATCTCACATTGGAGAAATTTACCTCTGCATTTAGCCCATCCCCTTAAGGAGCAGTGTGGGGTTAAGGGTCTTGCTCAGAGACCCAGAGTGGCAGTCTATGAGAGTGGAGTTCAAACTCATAACCCCAGTACTCCAAGTTCTATCCCCAAACCAATAGGCTGCCACTCCCCTCAATAGGTAATATTTTGTGCAAGATGCTGACCCTTGTCCCTCTTCCTTTCACCTCCTCCTTCCCCCATATGTGGAGTTGTACAGCTTGATGGCTTGAGGAACAAAGGAGTTCAGCAGTCTGTTGGTCCTATATTTAAGGAGGAGTATTCTCCCACTGATCAGGCTCCTATGAGTGGTGAAGACAGTGTGTAGAGGGTGGCTGGCATTGTCCATCATGTCCAGCAGTTTGTTAAGTGTCCTTGTCTCTGCCACCATCCCTAAAGAGTCCAGCTTCTTGACAATCACAGAGCCGGCTCGCCTGACCAATTTGTCCAGTCTGGAGGTGTCCTTCTTGGATGTGCTGCTCCCCCAGCACACCAGGGTGTATAAGAGGACACTGGTAACCACAGACTAGTAGAACATCTCCAACAGCTTGTTGCAGATGTTGAATGACCTCAGTCTCAGGAAGTGCATCCTGCTCTGTGTCTTCCTGTGCAGGTGGTTGATGTGTGTTGACCAGTCCAGTTTATTGTCCAGCCACATCCCCAAGGTATTTATATGAATCCACAGCCTCCACCTCAGGCCCCTCCAGTAGCACCGTCTTTGGTCCCTACCTCCCACGGTCTATGACCAGCTCCTTCATTTCCCAAATGTACACACCATGTCCATGTCTAGTTTAACAGCTGTGGTCTGAGCACCTCCAGGACTCCGTGTCTCTTTTCTCTGAATCACTGACCCTCTGCAGACTCTGCCTTCAAACCTGCACCAATGCAGTAAAAATAGACCCAGCTGAACTCTTTATTTCTGTTTCAGCCTGGCGCTGTGATAAAGTCATGGACATCTACAGCGGCTGCGCACTCTGCCTGCCCAACCTCACGTCTCCGACCCTGCACCAGCAAACACCCAGCCCGCCCCTCTGCATCGAGATCAAGGTACACATGAAGTCCACTCAGTGGACGAGTCACCCACACAAGTCAGTGTGTCACTCAGCACCTTTTTTTTTTAATGATTTTCTGCTTCCAGCCTAAATGTGGCTTCCTGCCGTCCCCCAAACACGTCAGCAAGGACATCAAGACCAGAGTGTGTCGCTACTGCATGCACCAGCACTACAAGGTAGAGCCATGAGAACACGCAGGGTTCAGATACCTTACCTACCCAAAACCTAATGAATGTCGGCAAAACTAGATCAATAGTAATTGGATGCAGAAACCTGTTTTATGATAATCCACAGTTGTGGATGATCTTATCGCATTGAAAGTATTATTAAGAAAATTGATAAAGGTGTTACTCTGGTAAGGAGATATTCCTCTTTTATTCTCCGACAGTTTTGGTTTGAACTAGTTGTTCAATCTTCAGTTCTTTATCAGAAATCTGTTCTGTTATATTTGTCTGCTGCCAGCAAATCAGATCTGTTAAGGTTGCAGGTATTCCAGAACAAGGCTGCTCAGTTAGTGTTAAGATATTATTGAAACGAGCCGTTCTTTACTATGGCCTCCGTTGAAGGTTATGTTGAAGTATGATTTACCCTTCAAACAGGAAGACCTGAATCATCCATTCATGCATTTTCTGTCACGCTTGTCCCAAGCTGGGTGGCGAGGGGTGCTGGTGCCTATCTCCAGCTGTCTACGAGCGACAGGCCGGGTCCACCCTGGACAGTTCGCCAGTCCATCGCAGGGCAGACCTGAATCATTTTGTGAAACAAGATTCATTTTAAACTGTACTAAGAGAGACTTTCTACAGAAATCCTTCTATAGAACAATTTAAAAATGCAATAAATTGCCTAAAAACATTAAAAAACAAATAATTTTTCTTTAAAAGAGCACTGAAATCGAATTTTTAAAATTTAAGTTTATGTGTGTAAAGTATGATGAAGACCATGTGTTATTGTCAAATCCTCCTTAATGTTTTATGATTAGTTTTTGTATTTTATCAGTTGGACCACAGGGAGATTAACAACCACGTTGGTTGAAACTAATTCGGATCTTAGTAAAAAAAAAAAACACCATAGTTCTAAACTGAAGCCCTATTTATCAGAAAAAGTAATCACTTTACTTCAAAGTCCTTATTTTACCAGTAGAATACAAAGAATACCTTCTCTCTTGGCTGCAAGAACAAAAACACCCAAACACCCTGAGACTAAAACTCTGCCACTCAGAGCCTCACTTCTGAGACAATCTGATGGTTTCTGTCCTCTGATGTTGTTTGATCCGCCTAGATCCTGCTGCTGAATCAACACCTTTGTTCTGAGACGTGCAGAAAAAGCTGTATCACTGATTTAAAAACAAAAGCTGTTCTGTTTATAGCTGAGCTGATTTCCTCTGGTTTCTGCTCCCCCCATGATTAGAACGCCATGAACATGGTCGACCTGTCAGCTGGAGAACCTCCTCAGATGTTCTTTTATTTCCCTCTGATGGACCTTAGAGTCCTCCTTACTGATGTTACTCCAGCTTTAACATTTCCTCAGTTCTACGTTCAAACTTCACATCAGCTTTTTGAGTTACACTGACATCTAGTGGTAAAAATGTAAACAGCAGCAAGCTTTTAAGCACTGTCCACCAGAACTTAGAAAACAGAACAGAACCAGATTATTTCCATTTAAAAATAAAAGATATCCTCTCTTTTTGCAAAACAATAACACCTGAACTTTTAAGGGAAATTTAACAACAATAATGAAAACAGAAACCAGACTGTTAGTTTAGATCCAAACCTTTAATCTAAAAGGTGTTTTAAAGATTGAAATAATTTAATTCAAACCAGTTTATTTCTATAGCGCCAATTCACAACACATGTCATCTCAAGGCACTTTTTGAGGAAAGAGGTCTTATATTAAATAAACCAAATTTAATCGTTTTAACTTTTTTCCCAATTGGAGTTATTTTAATTTTAATCAGATTAACATGATATACTCCTTGTGAATATTTTCTAATTTATTAGATTTTGGTCGTGGGCAAGACACTGTCTTATAACAAAGAAGAAGAAACAATGCACAGCCTGGTCATGCACTCAGTATGACCTCAACTGGAAATGCTCAAAAATGAAACTCAGAAAACTTAAAAAAAAACTGTCAAGGACCTGTTTAAGAAAGGACCTAATGGACCTGTTCCTGGTTTGAGATGTTCTCAGTCAAGGTGTGATCAGTTTTTGATGATACTTCCTTCAGCAGGTTGGGTGGTTGAACATGGCTTCTCTTTTCTTCTCTGTACCGAACAGTTTTTAATCAGTTCTCTGTCTCATCTGTCCAGGTGGCCAATGGGAAGTGGAAGAGACGCAGTCTTTACTGTCCTCTGGACCTGTTCTCAGGGTGAGTCCACTGACGATGCTTTCACTGTCCGTGTGTTTCTACGGAGACAAATGTCAGTCTGCTTTCCTGGTTCTGTGTTCTCCAGAGGCTTGTTGTCTGATTGGTTTGATTTCTTCTTCTCCTGTGCAGAAACAGACAGAGAATGCATTTCGCCATCCGGCACCTGATAGAAGAACCACAGAACAACCTCAAAGTGTTTAAGGTGAAGCAGAACTTTGGTTCTTTGACATTTTTGGTCTAACTTTTTAATAAGTCTTTGTTCTATGGGTCATTCTCACCTTAAAAGACTATGAAGCTCTTTTATTGTCTTGTTTCTCAGCTATCTGGGCCGAAGGTGTTTATTTTTTAATAAAACCTTAATCGGTCTAAAGCAGTAACCGTGGAAAGCTGTGAGGTTCTGCAGCAGTCAAACTCAGATCTGTTTCTGTGTTCCAGGGGGGTCAGTGTATTTACAGCAGTAAAGAGGGCAGCGACGAGTCGCCCGACCTGAACGCTCTGCTGCATCACCTCAGACCCTACTTCCTGCGTGGAAACAACCGCATCAATGGTCACATGACCACCAAAGCTGTCCTGAACGACTTCATCCAGGTAAAACTGCCTTAGGTCCAGTCGGACTGGTGGGTGAAAACTGTTTCTGAAACAGAAAGCAGACGTTTGAGTTAACAGTGAAGCTGGGTCTGTGTCTGAAGGTCCTGGTGAACGCCCTGCTGAGCGCCTCGGGAGGAGATGGAGGTCAGGTGACGGACAGAGCAGGAGGGGGGCGGAGCTTCTGTGAGGCCAGTCTGTTCAACACTGAGCGAGTTCGGCATGGTCAGTTTCTCCTCAAGCAGAACTAAAGATCATCAGAGCTCGTTTCTTCTATCAGACAGAGAGATAAAAAAAAAAAAAGATAATCCGTTTTAAAACGAACTATTAAAGTGGAATTATTCAGAGTTAATAAAACATTTCAACATTTATACCAAAAATGAGGACATTCAGCCCAGATTTCTGTTTGAATCCAGAGTTGGGTCCAAATTTTATTGCTGAGTTGTTCCTCCAAAGGTTTTGGTTTTGTTGTGGATTTATATTCAATGCCAATCCAGGTTGGATGCCATAATTATATTGTGAACAACTTACATTTGATTCCCAGCCAGCTGGGAATTTATATTTGTCATACTTTACTTATTGTCCTCCCTGGAAGGGGAGGTAAATATCTTTTTTTATTAGATATTACTTGGGCTGTTATATATTGTTTATAAACACACGCCCTACTAGCTTTGTGTTAGAACAATAAATGAAAGATAATTCTAGCTCAAATCATGGTCAAGCAGTTAATTCTGCATATACATGGAATAAATTCACCACAACGTCTGTTCAAAATATAAGTTTATTTCCGAAAATCATTTAGCTCCAAGTCAAACATAGGCTGTATTTTCTTCTCCGGTCATCATGTCAACAGGAAATATGGACAGTGCTTCTCAATGTCCAACAACCATGATCATAGCATAGGGCACAACAGTTTTCTAGGATCTTTTTTGATCTTGTTGATCAAAAGGAGTTCCTGAAATTCTTTCTCTGATGAACCACTGTCAGCTTGGTTTAATGAAGCCGTCTGTCTCTGTGATGCAGGATCTCAGGGTTTACCCACCAACAGCGTTCTGTCCAGGATCCTTCAGACTCAGATGTTGGACACTTTGGACATCGAAGGACTTTATCCTCTGTACCGCCGACTGGAACAACACCTGCAGGACTTCCCTAAGGACAGGTAGGACCGGGTCGACCAGGACCTGAAGGAAAAACTGTCCTGACAGGTAAGCTTTGGCTCTGATGTCTCTCTCTCTCTACGCCAGGACCCGCCTCCAGATAGACGGGCCGTACGACCAGAACTTCCTGGAGAAAGTGCAGAAAAGTTCGATGGAGGACGACGGTTCTGTGGAGTACGCTGCAGCAAAGGTCACTTTCTTTGGTTCTGACCCAAATGGACATAACCGATAGTGAGACGCTGAGAAGTTTCTTTGCTCAGATCTTAATTGTCCAGTTCTGTCCTCTTCTCTGCAGGTCCATCAGTACCGGATCGCCATGACTGCTAAAGATTGCTCCATCATGGCTGCTCTTGTTCCGGGCGTTGAAGAGGAGAACGATGATGAAGAGTGAGGCTGTGCTTCATGTGTTAACGTTCTGTCTTTGGATGAGTAGAAGTTTAATGGTCGGAGTCACGATCCGTGACATCAGCTCGTTTTCATGTATGCAACCAGACATTCATCCAGGTCGCCATAAAGAATGAAATCATAAAACTGAAAGTATCTGTTTTTATCTCTAAATCATCAAAGAACACCAAAATACATCTTATAAAAATTGTTTAACAACTTTTCTTAGAGAATTACATATTTTACATTCTCTCCATTAAACTGCTTGTCTGACGTCATTATCGACATGCAAAATATGATTCCACAGTGTTTATCTGCATATTATTTGTATTTCTTTAGATTATGCACTATATTAAATAAAACAGCAACGAAAGGCAAACAAATCTCAAGATGACTACATTTATTTATGAATTCAAAACTAAAAAAAATCAGCTGCTGGTTGTACGATAAGATCCTATTTACAGGAACGATCAGACTCAGAGGAGTGAAAAAACTGATGAGAAAAACATTTTTCACTCAGGAAACATTAATAATGTTTTATACATTAATAGTATTTAGTAAGTTTATTACAATTAAGGAGATATTAAGTAATTTCAGTCTTTTTAATTGAAGACAATCAATGTGGACCCGGATGTGTTTCTGGTTGCGTAATTAGTTCATCTTTAAAAACAGTAATTTTGTGATGTTTTAGTTGTTGACGCCAGCTGACCTTCCTCCTGGTCGTTAACCCTCCTCTTCCTCCTCCAGCCTCTCTTCTCAGAAGCATCTCAGGGACTTCAGACCTCAGGCCTTCTCCTCCTCCGTCTCCATCCTGGATTTGGATCCCAAACCGTTGGACAGCATCCCCCGCCAGCTGCGTCTGGACCAGAAGATTGTCTCCTGTTACCTGAGGACGGGCGGTGCCTTGCCCAGGGGCTCGCTGCCGCTGCTCCCCAGCATCAGGACCGAACGCTGCTCTTCCAGCCGGTGTGAACAGACGGTTCTATCTGCTGCTGCTCGGAGTAAAGAAGTGGAAACAGAACCTGCTTCTGAATCCAGAGGGAGGTCCATTCAGGATTGGTTCTGATTCTGTTCACCACAATCTAACAGCTTCATTCTGTCACAAGCGTCCACTCTGACCTCCCCTTGGATGGATGCTGCTGTCATGGCAACAAGCTCTGATGTCAGAAGTCCTAAGCTGAGTCTGTCTTCATCATCATCATCATTAACACTAACAGCCGTGATACAAACAGTCAGCAGGCGTCTGCTGCAAAGCATTTAAAGGTCCAATGTGCTGTTAAAGGGTCAGTTCACCAGAACCAGAAGCATGGAAACCTCCTGGGTCAGACGGTTCTGGACTCTTGGCTTCAAGAGACTGAAAACTCAGAGATGAGGAGGACAGCCCTACATGTAGTTTTAACACGTTATTAAAAACTTTAAACTACAACAGTATCGGGTCGAGCCGAGACCTCTGAGGAGTTCTGTTCTCTGAGCTCCGTACTTTAACTTCCACCGATGTCAGGTCAGATTTTAATCGGTTTGGTTGTTTACTAATCTGTCCAAAGCCGTAAACAAACAGCAGCTGTTAGATGTTCTGATCCAAAGCTCTGCTCTCAGACTTTCCTTCCTCTGATCCGGCCCATCCTGTCTGTGTTCTGGTCCAGCAGTTCTCTGGGCTTCCTGTGGGTCTTCCACAGGTTTCCTTTGGACTTTAGCTGTTGTTCCTGTTCATGTCCAGCAGATGAACAGGATGTGAAGAAAGCCCGGAAACTGTTGGTCAACACACTTCCAGAGAGGAACAAGTCTGGCTGTTTGAGAGAAAAACCTGTAAAAATAGGGCCCGGTTGGAAGTTCTGATCCAGTACCGTTTGTTCCCACTTAGCTTCAGGTCTAATAATGTTCTTAGGAGGTTCTATCAGATCTGAGGTCCGATCTGTGGACTGAAAACTCCTCCAGAGCCGTTTTTAGATCTTAAACTCTCTGGGTTCTGACCTTCACGCTGCTGCTCTGCTGGTTCTGGTGCCTAACATTGCTGCTTCCTGTTTGTTGGTTCTGGAGTGTTGCGATGGGTCTAGAGGACTCTGATGGTGCGTTTTTGTTGAAGAACCTAAATCTGTTACAGGCTGCGTTTCTCTGCAGCCCAGAACTACGAATACCTGGAACTCCTGACGGGTCCAACGAGGCCCGTTCAGCAGGTTCAGACCGGTTCTACTGGACCTGCTGTTTGAGGCTTCATACAACTGGTAACACTTGACCTCAGTTCCTGTACGCAGCGTCCACTCTCCATCAGCCAATCAGCAGCAGAGTCTGACCCCTTCATGGAGAGCGGACGGCAGCGAACGGAACCAACCACTGATGATTGGGTCTGAATGACGGCGCCGCCTGCAGCACGGATCCATCAGGAATATGACATCATCAACATTTTCCTCAGTTAAAGTTGCTGCTCCCTCATCAGCTGATCTCATCAATTGGGAGGATTTAGATTTTCAGGCTGAAAACTCAACATTTTTATTCCAGGCAGTTTGAGGTTAAAAACATCCTGCATAAAATTAGTCAAATGTTTAAAGGTGAAGATTTATTTTATATTGAAGGATGTGGATTTTCTTTTTAATATGAGTAGTTAGCTTTAAACTAAGATGAAAATTTTACACACGCCAGGAAAAACGTCAGCTTTTAGTGATGATGATGAACCATTTTTAAGTTTATATACATTTAATGTGACATTTATCCTGAACAATTCAAGAGAAACACAAACTAATCTGATGGTGAAGGGAAGAAAAATGAACTTGTGAAATTCTGAAGTGACCTACTTGCATAAGTTTGTGCAGCCTCTAACAGAGGTCCAGTTTGAGCGCCCAGGTTTTAGACCTGCAGACAGGTAAAGGGAATCTGATGAATCTGAAGGAGAAGTTCTGCTTTTCTGGGTGGATTTTCCTCACATTTACTCACCTTCATTATTTAGCTAAAGTCCATTAGTAGAGAGGTTCCAGAGGATCAGATGATTTCAGTGTTTAAAGATATAATTCAGAAGAAAACCCCCCAAGTAATACATAAGAGAAAACAGGAAGTTTGTCCAAATTACATAAAAAGATGAAAGGAAGTACTAGGAGAGGAGTCTAGAGGTCCACATAAACACTGAAGGGGCGGCAGGAACATCCAGACCAGTTCTGGTTCTGTTGCACCTGAGATGATCATCTCCACATGTCTGGACCAAGGAGAGAGATTGAAGAACAGAACCGTTTTATTTTAAAGAGAATATGGAAGCCAGGCTGAAACTTATTTAAGCAGTCTGATAAAACCAAGCCAAGAAATTCTGGTTCTGAGTCCAAAAACCTTAATTAAACCCAGCCTGCAGTGAATATAATCAAAATAACAGTGAAACATAATGATGGAAGCATGAAAGCTGAATTTGAAGGATTTCCTTTTTATAACATCACAGTGAGACCAAATCTACATCCAGAACAACTAAGGGACGATTTCATGGAGGGGAAATCAGGGTTTAGAACGGCCTAGTTAAAGTCCAGAACATAACCTGACTGGAAATGATCCGAGGAGGGCAGTGAAGAAGAGACGTCTTCACAATCTGACAAATCTGGAGAACTTTTAGAAATCTGGCTGATTGATTTTAACCAACAGAGACTGAAATCTGCAACTGGATCAAAGCTTCAGCAGAGTTTAGGTTAAGGATGTTAGTTTGAAGTTAAGCAAGATAAATCACACATTAAATGTGGAAATTATTTTAAATAATGTATCATGGTCTCATTTTTACATCACTAAACTGGCATTTTAAAGAGCGGTAAATACTTTAGAGATCTGCTAATGAAATGAAGCGTTCCTGTTTCTGTAAAGCAGACAGGAAGCACAATTTTAACGGAATCCAAACTACGATGGCATCGAGGAAACTTTAGGTTGCTTTAAACGTAAAGTTCAAAAGAACTTTAACTACAATAGTGATACAAATATGAACAGATTTAGTGAAGTTTTTACAGCTTCGTTAACAAACTAATTAACTAAATGCTTCAAGATGTGAACATTTAGTCCAAACCAGATGATATCAAACTAAGAGATGAATCTGTGTGGAAGGAGAAGTGGATGAAAACTGTAAGATCAGAGGATTTTGTTACATTTGGCTTCAGTTTCCTGTATAAAGGTTACAGCATCTCCTTTTTAATTTATTGTTTCAATATTTTTAACAAGTCTGTAAAGAATAACTGCTATGAGCTTGAACCTGATTGGCCGGCGGCCTGCTGCTGAGGATCATGGGTCAGCGCTGGGATTCCTGCAGACTCCTAAAACCTTGGAGTGTTAAAATAAAAACAAACTGTGAGGATATAAGGGCCCAGCAGCTGTCTGCCGTTTTCTACTGAAATCCTTTATTTTTGTAGATTTGGACAAACAGGTTCTGCTGTTACTGCCGTCACAGTCACTCTTTGTATCAGAATAAATATTTGTACCGGACCGAACCCTGGTTTGTCTGCTTTCTTTAATCAGGCTGGAAAATGGAAGACAAAAAAATGCATCTTCTTGTCTGTTAATGAATGGAGAGGAATGTTCACACTAATAATGATTAATCTACAGAAATATATCATTCTAGGTTTCAGACAGAATTAGATGTTTTAAAAAAACAAAAAAACATCTAAGTGTTTACCTGGTTCAGATGGTTTAACAGCTCATCTCTACAAACATTTAGGAAAGAAATAAAAAGTGCTGCTTTAATCAGTTCAGTTCTGATCAGAGCATCTCTGGGCAACTTTTGCACTGTGCTTCTAAAATGTTCACTTTACATCCAGAAAACCCAAATATAACGGTATTTATTAATGTAAAGTATGTGGTATGCAGCTGCAGGACGTCCTGCATGAAAACAAGCGCTCACTGACAGATTATTAAAAATTACTGGTTTATTGTTGCTATGGCAACATCAGTGATGTTTGCAATGAATAATTGTCTCAGATGGACATAGTAAATAAAAACACATAGTTCTTCCATGGTTCATGTGAAATCAATATTTTATTTGAAATAAATGCATAAATTTGCCACCTGTAGCATTGTTCCCAGTGATTAATATAATTACATAGAAATATCTACTATACTCTTAGTATTTGCTTTAAGTGTTTACAGAACCTCTTGAATTTTAATTCCAATATGCTCATCAAACCAATCAGGGACCAGAATCCTCCCATAGGCTTACCATACGGGTTAATGCAGATGTACATGTCAGCATCACGGTACCAGTCATCCTGACCCTGAGATGTAAGGAAATCACAGAGGTCATCTAAAGAGAGCTAAATCAGACTTCTGGTGCTCCATCTTCACCTAAACGTCTTAGTGGAGCGCACTCGTCACACTTCTTCAAGGACGTGTATTTGAATAGTAAAACTTGTTTTTACAGCTGACATGGATGCAGGTTATGTTCATTGCAGAGGATCCTGATTTTTGATATAATCCATAGTCTAGTATGTAAATTATTTTAGATGCAGAACATGAAGACAAAACGCATAACAGGTTGGAATATGAAAAAATACAGTTATTAAAAATACATTTTTTAAATAATTTTGTAATGGGACATTTTAAATTGAATTATGAAAGACCATTTGTAAATCTATTTCATTATTAAAAACTGCAATTTGAAAATATATTTTCAAATCCTATTTCTAATTGGAGATTTGTATACTAAAATCCACAGATCTGATTATAAATACCTTTCCTTATCAAACATTTTCAAACATATTTCCCTTTTTTATAGCCAATATCTTTTTCATTTGCATTTTAATCCCTTTTGCTGTTGGGTTTTGCCTTTTCCATTTACAGTGAGGAAAATAAGTATTTGAACACCCTGCTATTTTGCAAGTTCTTCCACTTAGAAATCATGAAGGGTCGAAAATTGTCATGGTAGGTGCATGTCCACTATGAGAGACATAATCTAAATAAAAACAAAATCCAGAAATCAGAATTTCTTTTTTCTATTCTCCATGTGATGCAGCTGCAAATAAGTATTTGAACATCTGAGAAAATCAAAGTTAATATTTAGCATAGTAAACTGTGTTTGCAATTCCAGAGGTCAAACATTTCCTGTAGATTCTTATCAGGTTTGCACACACTGTAGGAGGGATGTTGGCCCACTCCTCCACACAGATCTTCTCTAGATCAGTCAGGTTTCTGGGCTGTCGCTGAGAAACGCAGAGTTTGAGCTTCCTCCAAAGATTCTCTGTTGGGTTTAGGTCTGGAGACTGGCCACGCCAGAACCTAGATATGCTTCTTCCAGAGCCACTCCTTGGTTATCCTGGCTGTGAGCTTTGGGTCATTGTCACATTGGAAGAACCAGCCTCCACACATCTTCAATGCTAACTGAGAAAAAGAGGTTACTCCCCTAAATCTCAGAATACATGGCCCCGGTCATCCTCTCCTTAATACAGTGCAGTCGCCCTGTCCCATGTGCAGAAAAACACCCCCAAAGCATGATGCTACCTCCCCCATGCTTCACAGTTGGGATGGTGTTTTTGGGATGATTCTCATCATTCTCTTCCTCCAAACACGTTTAGTGGAATTATGACCCAAAAAGTTCTATTTTGGTCTCATCTGATCACATGACTTTCTCCCGTGACTCCTCTGGATCATCCAAATGTTCGTTGGCAAACTAAAGACAAGCCTTGACATGTGCTGGTTTAAGCAGGGGAACCTTCAGTCGCATGCATGATTTCAAGCCATGACATCTAACCATGGAAACGGTGGTCCCAACTCTTTTCAGGTCATTGACCGGCTTCTCCCATCTAGTCCCAGGCTGATTTTGCACCTTTCTTAGGATAACTGAGACCCCACCACTAGGTGAGATCTTGCAAGGAGCTCCAGTCTGAGGGAGATTGACAGTCATGTTTAACTTCTTCTATTTTATAACGATTGCTCCAACAGTGGACCTTTTTTCACCAATCTGCCTGGTAATTTCCCGGTAGCCCTTTCCAGCCTTGTGGAGATGTACAATATAGCCTCTAGTGTCTTTGGACAGCTCTTTGGTATTTGCCATGTTAGTAGTTGGATTCTTACTGATTGTGTGGGGTGGGCAGGTGTCTTTATGCAGCTAACCACCTCAAACAGGTGCAGCTAATTTAGAATAACAAAAGGAGTGGAGATGGACATTTTGAAGGCAGACTAACAGGTATTTGATGGTCAGAGTTCTAACTGATAGACAGATGTTCAAATCCTTATTTGCAGCTGTATCATACAAAGGATTCTCACAGACATGCACCTACGATAATTTCAGACCCCTCAATGTTTCTAAGTGGGAGAACCTGCAAAATACCACGGCGTTCAAATACTTATTTTCTTCAGCTTATCGTTTGCGTGGCCCTTCTGATCCCTGAGCACACTGTTTGCCAGGTTAATTGAAATGCTAAACGGAGATGATAAAGTATAAAGAAAATGCAAGATGAAAGATTGAAAAAGGGCATTACCTTTTAAAATTTTTTAATGAAGAAAGGTTTTTATATTTACATTGATGAATCGTAGATTTTGAATCTCCATTTAGAAATAGGGTTTAAACAAACTTTTCAAATTACAATATTTATAACGGATTAATACAATATTTACAATAGAAAATGCTTTCTAATTTGGATTTCTAACTGTGATTTAAATGTTTCATTTGAAATGTTTCTTTTTCAGTGATTCTCCTCCATAACAAGAGAGACAATTAAATCAAATAATACATACAGATCATTGAATGTTTTCTATCTAAGGAAACCAGGCTGATTGTTATTGACTTTGCTGGTTTGACTCCCCCTGGATGAGCATGCAGCAACAGCAACTATTTGCTACCTTGTTTTGTTGACTCTGCAGCAATCCCT